ACTTTGTCAAAATTCGACAACTTTTCTCATTGATGCATTTCGTGTATTTACAAATTCAGAATTTATAAGTTCGACAATCTTACCCAAAGATCGAATTCAAATTAATACTCAAGCAGCTCTGAATGAAACACAACGAATAGCATTCAATACTTTTTTACTATCACTTACTACTATTCAACAAATTACACAAATGAATGATTTTATGACAGGCACATCAGTAAACTATATCATCAGTACAAACAACCAACCATTCGAATCAATTGAGTCTATTCAAATTATTTCAAATAAATATGTACGAAGAGGATCAACAACGAATTGTTCTTGTTTAACTGAAGAATCATGCCCAATGTCTGGCGGCATATATTTGTATGATGTATGGGATACCAATGGATTTTTCGACCTAAATATTCTAGTCGCTAATGAAACATTGTCTGGTCTTGCTGTTGATTGTTTACCACTTCAAACAACATTTGCTTCATCATTCGATTGTTTCTACAATCAATCATGTCTCGACGTGCTACTTTCGACCTATTCAACTAAGATCGATATTCAAATACTTAATCGATCTTTACCAAGTCGATTTCCATTAACAACACGTATCAAATCAGTCGTTGATGAATTATTCATTGAAAAAATTCTGATTCAAACCTCCTATGATATCTATTTTAATGAATGTAGACCGTTTTACTGTAGTTATACCTATTCACACCGATTCAACTCTATCTATGTGATTACAACGCTGCTTGCTCTATATGGAGGGTTAAACGCGGCATTCTATATCATTACGCCTTACTTAATCGATTTAGTTCTATTTGTGAAGAAAAAGATTTTAAGACAAAGTCTATCTCAACGAGATGAAAGTAAGTTTTCAAATATATCTAATAATGATGAAGTAGACCCCAACGGATTCACAAAAGACTTACCATTTCATTCTTTACGAAGTTATACGTAGAACAGGATCTTGATACTTGAAATATCCTTCTAATGAAATCGAAATCGAAATGATCCAAAAATTTCAAAACAATTAACTTGAAAAGTGTATTTCATCAGTATCAGTTTGAATGTACAGGTGATATCTACATCAAATAGGTCACAATATAGCTTTTGAAATCCTCTATCGAATGACTATAATATGAATTTCGTATGCAAAATATCTTATATCATTTTCCTGAAAATAATCAAAATGCTGAAACTACGGTCAGGAGATGGAGATGAAATGAATCTTAATTTAGTCCTCAAGTATTTAAAAGTAATCTTCTCTAAGTCATTTATTTTAGAAAATTATTTCGTGAATCTTTTGTAGAAACCCACAAAATTTTAGGATATAATGATCGCAAGTCAACTTTAAAATATTAGGAGGTCAATTTCTTCTTTCCCAGCTACGAGTTACATAGACTTTTCAGTCATAATTTCGTAGACATGATCATATTTAAATTAATTGTTGTTGGAGAATTTTTTGAAGATAAAACGAGTCTAATGTATGACAACAAACAACGAAAGAAAATATTGAACAAATCTTTTCATCGAAAGTAGTAGTTATTAAAATAAGTGTTTTTATGCATTAGTTTAACTATTATTCGATAAATAATCCAAAACAAATGAGAGTAAAGCCAGCTTATCTCATTAGCAAAGGATAGCATTCCTGACAATGGAGTTCTAAAAATATTGTATCCATTATTAGTTCAAAAATATGGGTAATCGTTCTATTACTGACAAAGCTTGCGAAAACTAGTAGTGAACCGCTTATCATGTACGCGAAACTTAAGACTCAGTAAGTTTTGCGTTCATCATATGCACATTTATTTTTAAGAATAACTTATGTTCTTCATAATTGTATATATTACTCATTTACATAAATGTGCGTGTTACAGTAGTTGTTCAGACAATATACTAGCATGGTTTTGTCTTATTAATCAATATAATTCAGCAACGAACCAAATTGATAAAATAAAATGGAGAAAAACAATATCCGAACATTTGTATTTTCGAATATCCATTGAGAGTGAATAGTTTAAAGGATTCTGACAAATAATTTGGATAAACTAACGGATCGCCTATGGAAAAAAAAAAGGAAGTGTAAAGATTTTATCATTATTCTTTAAAACTTACATATTTAAAAACATTTTTGCAAACAAGTCTATCCTATTGAATAAACGCATGGGAGCATTGTAAGATGTATCGAAGCTTTAAGTGATCTTTTTATGGAATATAAATGCTCATGAGTGTTAAAGTACATAACAATAAAAGTAAATTCAACTTTCCCTCTCAAAAACCATAATATTCCTTTTAACTATCACTATGAATGAGTGAAATCAAAAATCCATATATACTGAAAGTTTCTCCAGTATTCGTCTCTCACTAAGAATCTCATGCAGTACTATTGCTCACCAATATATATATATCAAATTGTACTGAATTCTAATAATGCTTTATCTTTCTAGATATCAGCATTCGCATCCTTCTTTGGCATTGGTTTTATAGAATGAAAACATATATAATCGAGTTCAACTTGTTCAACAATTATTCAGATGATGCATTTGATATTCTTTGTGGACGTATCTCAACATGGCTCTATGTAATACTTTTAACCACTATTATGACTATTATTATTATTTTTAAGACAAAAACATCACATTGGACAACCATAACTATTTATTCACCATCGAAAAAGCAATATGAAGATTTATATCAACAATATTCAAATACATTACAATGTCCTTGTACTGATATTTCAATTCCTTATGCAACATTTATTCAAGTCAAACCAAAACAACATCAATTGTGTGAAAGCAATTTTATTCAACCATGGTGGTATCAAAGTTTAAATTCAGTAGAAAATAATGATATGTCATTAAATTTTTCTATATTCATTTCATCCTATTTTCGAACATTAGCCATGTTATGTAACATAACAAAATCAACTCTTGATGATAAAATACGTCGATCTTCTTCAGCATTATTTATTAGTTCTCAACTTCCTTCAAAGCAATGGCTCATATTACAAACGAATCAATCTATTGAGATATTTCGATCTTCGATGTTAAACGAATTCAAAAATATTATATCATTAATCATAGGAATACTTGATGCTAATCAATATATTAGTGGTCGAAAAACAAATACGTTACTCAAAAAACTATTTTCGAATTCATCCAACCAAACAGAAATAGTTTCTATTACGAATGCTGGCTATGATGAAAATGATCTTCCATGTTTTTGTGCTCGAAATTCATTTTGTAATATGCAAACATACTATCAAGATTCAACATCATGGACAACATTTGGTTTATCTTTCAACTGCTTCATAGTCAATTCAGTACTGAAATCATCTCTCAAATGTTGGTATAACTATAGTTGCCTAAATGAAGTATTGACAAAATTAACCTTTTCTAATTTGTTTAATCTCCCAAATATAACTGTACTTGATGATACATTGCCTAGTAGATTTCTTCCATATATTCCAATAGAAATTTTACTCAATGAAATGATGGTTGAACAATGGTATACGATAGTTAATTATATGGCTTTATATAAAAACTGTCATCCAATATATTGTACATATGTTTATGATGGGAAACACAATGCATTATATCTTATTACTATAATAATCGGTATTTTTGGTGGTCTCGATATTATTCTTCGATTTATTTGTTTGATTATTAGTCGATTATTATTTCGATGTAATAGGTCACGACATACACATAGTATATCGCTTCCAAACAATCCAGAAACACTTAATCGTAAGTAAAAAACAAAATGATGATTATTCTTGATCATAGGAAAGTTTTTTATGTAATTCCTGTTGAATAAAAATGGCAAAAATAAAAAATTCACTGTACTCGTAAACGAAAATTCTATTCATGCTGAGCGTATTGCTCGTGAAGGCTAGATAGACAGAAATATCCATCTATCTATCATCTGTCTAGAGAAAAGATCAAGGAGCATATTTACTTGACTTGTTTACAATTATACTTCACGAATATATTTGACAATATTATCTTTAGAAATTAGAAATAAGTAAAAGTATACAATGCAAGTTGCATTTGTCATTTTTTAGAAATATATTATGTTACCTTTACTTGGTGCACTATCAACAATTGATTAACCATGAATGTTTGATTTGACGGAATGATAAGTTTCTCCTGTAAAACAATGAAGTATTGAACTGCCTTTGAGAGAAGATAGATAGTTTTTTTGTTCAGACCATCTTGCTTCTCTCTTTTTCACAACACATTCTAACATTGCTCGAATACTGATGATTGCTCACAAACAAATTTAGATTTCTTGGAACTATTTCGAATAGGATATTGATCCATTGAATGATATACTCTTTTTAAATGAAATAAAATAAATTAGCAAAGTAGTATAAGAAAACAAAGTAAAGATCTGCTCTTGAGACCATACAAAGTGGACTTCTATAGTTAGCATTATTGGTTTCTTTTGAAAATCGGATTTCATCTTGTCTGAAAAAAAGAAGAAAATCGTGGATGACGAGGCCTCAATCGCTTCACTATATTATTCACATATATAATGTCTTTTTAAGATTTCTCATAAGATATATTAATATTGACTTCAATTTTTCATATTTGATCCTTCTGAATGACGTATAGATGCATGCAAAATAAAACATCATTGTACTAGATATTAAATCTAAACTTTTGATGATTAGTAGTTTATGCAAATTATTTGTACAATTCATTTTAGAAAATTATCAGAATCGTCTGATTTTCTACAATGTTTGGAATATTGTTCGACACGAAATGAAAACATATAACTTATTTAAAAGTGGATCAAATCAAATACATATTATCCGCCGTGAACGTTATTCAACAAGACTCTATTTATTTCTTTTATCTATCAGTATATTGATCATAATTATTTATACGATTTCATCGAAAGAAATTATTAATCAAACAATCGAAAGACCTAGTCAAGCAACATACGAAAAATTAATGGAATCATATGCCTCCAAATTGCAGTGTTCATGTTCACAGATATCGATGAGTTATGGTCAAGTTATGACAATGAATGTTATATTTCATCAAGTTTGTTCAAGTGATTTCGTGAGTGATCTGTGGCTTAATTTTTTGTTTAGCAACAGCTATTGGTTTGTTTATGAAAGAGCTGACATTCGCGTACGTGGCTCGGCATATTTCAATTTTCTATCAACATTGTGCAAGCTTGCAACAACAATTATTCAAAATGCTATTTGGCAGTTTCTTTCAGAACAATTTATAAATGTTAATTTGATACCCGAAAGTTTGTTCCACATGCAGATGACTGTGGCTATTAACGAATTTCTTAGACTCAATCCTGCTCGATTAGCTCATATTTTAGAACTTTCACAAGGCATTGTACACGGGAATACTTTTGTATCCAGTTATTTATTGAATTGGCATTGGTCATTATATAATAATAATAGAAATCAAACCATGACTCGAGCACATGCCATAACATTGAATAATTCATGTTCGTGTGGAACACGAAGATATTGTGTTCAACCTGGAGGTATTTATTCCTCAACTATGAATAATTCATATTGGATGATGCCTGGACTCAATATAGGCTGTTCAGTTGTTGAAACATTGTTACGTTCAACACTCGAATGTTTGTACAATCAAACATGCATTGATCTATTACAATTATATATTGGCAGAATTCCAACACTTTTCCCAAATATCATCAATTTAACAGCTATGGATCCTATGTTACCAAGCCGTTTTATGACGAACATTACGATTCATGATCTTGCCAATGAGCTCTTTATTGAGGAAGTTCAATATCAGACGTCCTATTTGCAATTCTATGAAAAATGTGCTCCAAACTATTGCTCGTACATATTCGAAAAACGGAGCAATTTTTTAATCATTATTTCACAAATTTTAGCTCTATGGGGTGGACTCACTCTAAGCTTCGGATTTCTTGCTCCATGTATTGTTCAATTATTATTCAAAATCAATGTTTACCGTCAAAATAACAGAGTTAATATCGTCGCTTAATTCACCTTAATTGCTTGCTTAAAGTTTTATTGTTAATATGATTTTGAAACATGACATGAAGTAACGAAAGAACAAGTTTTTGAACAGCGCCATTTCATTCCATGTGCCAAGACCAGACAGATCGATCACAGTGGCTGTTGAAAACGATATGCGTACTTGCATCCGACTCTTATAGATAGATTCTGTGTTTTTCTTGAGACCCAATTTTTTTGGAAAAAAGTCTAGATGACAACTATTTCTGCAAGGTACGAAGTCTGGAAGAGCTCATTCTAGAAGCTCAATCAAATGAGGAAACTTCCTAACAATTAATACCAAGGAGACACATAATATTATAAGATCTCATAAGCATATCGATATGATTCTATGCTAATCTCAAGCGAATGCATAACCAAAAACAATTCGAATAAGTAAAAAAATTAGTCGATTCATATCCAATTTAGAATAATATGTAAATAGATGAAAACTAACTGCAGATAGTGAAAACGAATTGTAGCACGTTTTCTATTGAATAATCGGGAGTGAAAAATGGGCAAATTCGTTCAATACATGCTCAAGCCATGAGAAGCAGATTCAATTGTATGTAGATGCCTTGATAGAAATCGAAGGAAACAGATCGCATTGATCTATGGACTAACAATATCAGTGCGCAGAGTGTTAATTACTAAAGCGAAGTCAGAAGAGAATTGAATGAAATTAAACATAAATATTACAAAAATAACATCGTGATGGAGTGCTTTTTTCAACTTGTTCGATAAAGAAAGAAAATAGCAACCCACAATCACATAAGGGATAATCGATAACCCTTGCAATGTTTGAAAAATTTAAATAACCATTGGCTGTTTGTACACTCGATTGATAAGTATTTCTCCAGTAGATGCGCTGCTTGTCATATTGAGAACCATCTAACTCACATTTGTTGCCATTGTTTGATGTGGATGTGAGTGTGGGTGTGAGTCTTTTCTTTTTTACACTGACACCAACACCCGCACCCAACATCCTATAATAGTCTCTGTGTCAAAACTGCACGTACGCATGAAATTTCTTATTCTATAATTACATTGTTTTTCTATCTATTATAATATCAGCGGTTCAAGGGTGTGGGTGTGGGTCGTCTCTTTATTCAAACCCACACCCGCACACCCTATCTGTCTGAATCAAGTTAAATGCAGTACTGCACCATTGCTTTATGGAAAAAAAAACGCTGAAAATGATCTTAAATAAATTTTTGAAAATTGTTAGGGCGTCGCCCAACCACTTAGTGTTTTCTGATGACGCCACTATACACACACGATTCCATATATCAGAGGTTCAAACAGGCTTACTTTTCGTAGACGTGGCTGTGTCTGTCTTTGATTTTCGTCGGTCTGGCCTGCCCGTTTCTGCCTATGTACTTTTTTTTGCATACTAATATTAGGATAGTAATTGAGTGGAAATAGAAAACTGTCTTTATAAAAGAATAAGAAAGTTGCTGACATCAAAATAACATGAGTAAGCGAAAGATCTATTGATGTAACGAAGTATATAACTGTTAAGTAAAGACAAAAAGGAAGGTATTAATATTTGGAAAAAAAACTGTTTTTGAGTAAAAATCTTTCTACTGAATTTGATGAACTAATTGAAGAGAACTTATTATGTTCGACCGCATTACGGCAATATAAATATGAATCAGGAACATAAGACCCCGTAGACACTTTATGTTAAACCTTAATGACAACCAATTAAAAAGTGCGCTCAGTAACTTACTGAAACGGATAAATAAACTAAACAAATAAATGCATAATGGGCAATATAATTGTAATTTATTAATATTCCCGATTGCGCTGAGTCAAACTGATGCAAAAATCATTTCTTATCTTTCATAGCAAAGATTCCCCATATTATATTTTGATATCTGCATCTTTTACTCAAAAAATGAAGTTTTTTATTGAAAATTTAGAAAAAAAACACGACAGCCAGGTGGCTTGCCTAGCCTGTGACGGACTCGACAATCAGAGCCTGTGCCTGTTACAGGCAGGCAGGCAGACTCAATGGCATGTTTGAATCTCTGGCATAAATTGTATGAGAGTGAGAATGTGATTAAAATACGGTAGTACTAAAGTTTGAATTTGAAGGAAATTTTTTGAATGTATTTAAAAAAAAGAAGCCATTCGCGAAAGGCGCAAAAAAGTTCAAAATACTTGATTAATATTCATTTAAAAACATTAACTCAAATGTTTAGCATTCAATGTAGCTTGTGTTACAACCTGGTTCAATGCTTTACCATTACTACTGATTTGGCGACAACATTGATTGTTTCCACAGCAATATGTTCCTATTGGACAACAACCGTAGCCACAACATACAGGATATTGTGACGAACAACAATCATTTTGAAAAGGTGCCGGACAACAGACTGTATGTGTAGAAGGACAACAGCCTTGTTTACTAGGATCAGATACTGGACAACAAACGGAACCTGGATATATATCTGAACAACAACTTCCAGACGAACATTCTCCATTAAATGTATCGTATGCATTGCATTCAGCTGCATGTGAATTATAGCCTGCCCACGCTGTATAACCTTGTTTTGTAAGAATAGTTGGAGCACATTTTGTATTTAAAATATTATTTGTTAATGCTTCTGAACAACTAAAATCACATCCACATTTACATGTACGCAGTGTTGAGTTTCTTCGACATTTCGGCGATGTTCCTGGACAACAACAATCATTTTGTTGTCCTGATGAACTACACCATAAATAACTGTTAATTTGAAATAAACCATTATCCGTACTATTATCTTGATTGTTATTCGGACCCATACGTGTACCCCAAGTACTTTCATAGTAGGCTATTGCTGTCATAATATTTATTTGGTTATTACTAAAACCAGCATTAATAAGCTCAACAACAGTTTTGCAACAATTTGTATTGCTTCCACATTTTGGAATTGATCCTGTTGATGACCAAACAATACTACAAAACAATATTGTCGTTATTGGAAAATTTAAATTAAGCAACATTTTCATATCACACACTGTCTAATTGTATATAATGTAATTGCAATAATAATGTAAATACGTCAGAACTAGAAATCAAAAATAAATGTTCCAATCATTATGCAGTCTATGAAAGGTGAAAATTGTGCTTGAGTTTTCTAGGTGAATATAATAGATTTCAAATCGAATATAACTTGAAAATTTCTTTCTTTACAAAACAAGTTTGTTCAAAATAATTTCTAAAGCTTAGTATTTTATGACAATCATATTACACAGTTTCACTTCATTTAGTCTGAAAAAACATCGAAAATTGATCCGATTCAGGTTACAAATGTAGAACTCTATTTAAACAATAAGAAACGAAATTTTTTTTATTTACTAACGCCTCTTAATATTGGTAAAATCGCAGTTAGGTATTTTAATTCTTGGTCACAATCTCTGATTTCTCCTTACAAGCCAATATATTCTTACCTGTATTGAAGTTTTCATATTTGTGTAATACGGCTTGTCCACGTAACGCGACACTTCGCTGATCAAGTTTTGAAAAAATTTTTTTTCGAGTTGGACAGATCTCAGTGGGGTACTAGATGCAGTTTTTTACGCTGATTACGAATTTGGTATTAATTTTGTATAAAAATCAGATTTTGATATCGAAAACTGGATTTTAAAGTTTTCAAAAACCGTATTTTGGATTTTTTAACCAAGAAATTTTTTCAACAAAGGTCAAGAGACATACCATTCGATGCAGAATTAAATTCTCTGCAAAATGGTCTATTTAGTTTTGACTTTGGCAGCTTAGAACAAATTGGAGACTTCGATACAATTCCCAACTTCCTGCTCAGTTTATGAGCTCTCGGATCGATGTATCAATCTCATTTTTGCATAGGGGATTGTCTACATAGAAAACAGTAATACTTAGAAAAATCAAGTCATTCTGAGTACATTAAGTGCCTCAAAATTGGTCAACAAAAAACTGTGTAACAGCGTTACGAAAAACGTAACAGCGTTACGTTTGTTTTTTGCATTTTTTATCGGAGCAAAAATGTTTTAGAGAAAATCTTTTTTACTGCCTGAAAGCCTATTCAATGCTCTATAAAAAGGACTCTTGGAGCATTACATTTGAAGAAATGGTTTCGCAAGAATTTAGAGTTTTCTTGGCGGCACTGGAAAAAAGGGTCCTTTTATGTAACAGCGTTACGCCATGATAAAACCTTTCTAGATGCCTGAGACTTCAGTCAAAAAAGGCCATTTTTATATGATAAATAAAGTTCGATAAGCTGCGTCGAATGACGTTTGAACGAACTTCCTAGCTCTTAAACTTTTCGAGATAGTTGAAGAAGAGTGTGTCAAAAACGTAACAGCGTTACGTTTGGACAAGCCGAATACATTTCTCTATATATATATTGTTCGTACAATAAAAGCATTTTATATTATGTTCCTTATATGGAATTACTCTCTTTGTATTTACTTAGCTTAAGTAAGCTATTTTCAATAGCTTTCTTAGTCATATTTTTCGCAGTTTTCTTTTTCTATTGTTCGCAGTATTAGAAACGTAATTGAGATCATAAAAAATCAAAAGAAAGCGAAAACTGCGAAGAATATGAGTTAGGAAGTTATTGAGAATATTTTTCTTTGTCATATTTTTCGCAGTTTTTTTATATTCAGTTTCTTGTATTGTTCTCAGTATTAGTAATGTACTGAAGACCTTTGTTAGTCAAAAGAAAAAGAACTGCGAAGAATATAAGTTACGAAGCTATTGATAAAAGCTTTCTTAGTCATATTCTTCGCAGTTTTTTTTTATTCAGTTTTTTGTTTTGTTAGCAATATTATACTTCACTTGAGATCGTTGACAATCAAAAGAAAGAAAAAAAAGTGCGAAGAATATGAGTTAGGAAGCTATAGTCCATAGCTTCCTAATTCTTATTCTTCGCAGTTTCTTTTTGTATTCAGTTTTGCAGTATTGCTTGCAGTATTAGTAATGCAATCGAGTTCCTTGGTAGGCTTATTGCATGGAGCTGC